GCTCCGTCCGTGGCAAGATCCAATAACCTGTCCGGTCGGCAGAGAGACAGATGAGCCCCTAGGAGGGGATGGCGGAACGACAATTTGTCATCCCTGGTGCGGCTTCACCTTGGGCGGAGGAAATGTGATCAGAGCCCAGCGGCCCCTGCCACCGTCCGCTGCGGCCCCTGTGGCACAACGGGGAGAGTGGCGGTGATTTACAGCCCCGTCGTCCTAATTGCCTCCTGCCCGGCAGGGTAATGGATGGCCTCGTCGCGCTGATGGATGGCTCTCGCGGAGCTTCATTCAGTTAGGGGGCCTAATAAGTGTGGCTCCTGGAGGAGGGAAGGGAAGATGGAGAGCGTGTCAGAAAGGAGGGGACCTGTCTAGACCAGGCAGGGCAGGCGAGAAGTTAGGAGGAGGTCCAGAGGTGGACCACAGGACGCGATGGGGAAGCTGCTGGGCTGGGAGATGGGTAACTCTGAAGGCAGGTGCTCAAGAGGGTTTGATGGTTTTGACCCTCAAGTCAAACTGCATGGGGCTCCTCACCTGGCAGGGCTCTCCAGAGCTCACCTTGAGCTCTTGCCGCTGGAGACTCAAACCAGAGCAAGTTTCTGCATGAAAAACAAGTGATCTGCCCATAAGCCAGGGTTCCACATCTTCCATACCTTGGGGTGGAGGAGTGAAGATGGTGGCACACAGCTTCTTGACTACATCTCTTCTTCAGGAACGCCCATCACTCTTTGGAGAAGCTGAAGACGCCTCTTGACACACAGTGAAAACCATGCTCAAGGCGGCTGGCAACATATCAAAAATTGCATAACTACAAGCATAACAATAGTGGTCACAAACGTATCAAAAAGGACACGGCTGAATTAAACTTTGCAGTGTTAAATGGTGTGAGGCAGGCATGCGAACACCAGGGAGAAGGCCTTGTCTGCAGTGGCCCCTGCTCCACGGAGGGAACAGCCGTCAACTAGGTGGCCGTTTTGGTGCCAAGTGATGCCCCCTTTTCTCCCCCCACACCTTCCAAATAACCCAGATGCTCTGGGCCTTGGCTTCTTACACAGAGGATGCCACAAGTTCTGGTTTGTCGCATTTCTGTAGGGCTGTCATTCCCCTGCATTTTAATGGTTTTGTTTCACTTCCTACTCTATTTGGTTTTTTATTGCAATAAGTAAATGACGGCTACTAGCCATGACGGTCATGTTCCCTCTCTGACTCTGAACACCTGCTGCTGGGAATAGCAGGTGGGCAGAGGGCTGCTGGGCTCACCCCCCCCCCCAAAGCAGCTGGCTGGCTACCGCGAGATCAGGAGGCTGGCATATTAACCCCTCTGCACAAATCCAACCCACAAATCCAACTCAATGGTGTAATGTTGGAAAATGTCAATCACTTCTCCTACCTAGGCAGTTATCTTTCCACAAGGGCCAACACTGATGTCGAAATCCAGCATCGTCTGAGCTCTGCGAGTGCGGCTTTCTCCCGATTGAAGTGCAGAGTGTTTGAGGACCGGGACAGTCACAGGGAAACCAAAATGCTTGTTTGCAAAGCTATTGTACTACCAACCTTACTGTATGGACCACTTATAAATGCCATCTCCAACTCCTTGAAAGATTCCATCAACAGTGTCTCCAAAACAATTTACACATCACTCGGGAAGACAGGCGAACTAATGCCAGTGTACTGGAAGAAGCAAAGATCACCAGTGTTGAAGCAATGATTATTCAACATCAACTTCGTTGGACTGGTCATGTTGTGCAGATGCCTGATGATCGTCTTCCAAAGCAACTACAGTACTCTATTCCGAACATAAAAATGGAAAGCGTAATGCTGGTGGTCAACAAAAGAGGTTCAAAGATTCTCTCAAGGCAAATCTAAAAAAATGTATCGACAACTGGGAAACACTGGCCTGCAAGCACTCCAGTTGGAGAACAGCCGTTCCCAAAGGTGTCCTGGGTGTAGAAAAAACAGAGCTGACACGGGAGATGGGATGCAAGTGAGATGTGCAGGAACAAGCTGATTGCTAGCTTAGCAGAGGCTCTTTTTATTCGCAAGATATGCAAAACCAGCAAGACACATTCAGGGCTTTGCCCTTTACACTTCTCCAATCCCAAGCCCCCTGGGTGTTGCCTTGTTATCTACGCAACCTGCTCCACCAAGTCATGTTCCCATTACAGGGGGAAATGCGCAATGCCTTTGCAAAGGAGGTAAAGGTCAGGACATGGAAGACAGCTGAGGAGACAAAAGGTCAAGGAGTGGGCATGGCGGCTAGACAGCTGTGGCTTGTCTGATGCTGTGGGGGAGGGTGTGCCCTCACCCTGCGACGCCATCCCTACAATGGGCTTTGAAGGCACTCGAACTCAGGACGCAAGAGAGAAACGTGCTAAGAGGAAGGCACGCTTGGCAAATCCACACCATGATCAACTCCCATCCAGAAACCAATGCCCCCACTGTGGAAGGACGTGTGGATCCAGAATTGGCCTCCACAGTCACTTACGGACTCATTTTTAAAACCGTGTTTATGGAAGGCAATCTTACGCAGCTACGAGGGATCGCCAAAGAAAGACTGCTGTAGATACTATATATTTTTGGCATCTTTATTTTTAGTCCTTCTTATGATTTATGTGTAAATTGTTCAACTTTGCTGCGTGCTTCTGGCTGCATTTTGTTTATTGTTTACGACTACTTTTGCAATTATGCAAATCTTTCCATGCTGTGAGCTGCCTTGAGCAAGGTCTTAACTATGGGAAGGGAAGGCAGCATAAAAATAAAATGATGATGAAGACAATTCAATGGGCCTCCTTTGGCTTGATCCAGCAAAGCTCGTTGTATGTTCTTGTAGTTCCCAGAGAACTTCGTGGTGTGGGGTAGCAGAGGAATAGAAAGGAACATTTCAGATCTCTTTTGAAATCCATGTGTAAGTGGCTTATTCATTTAGTTAAGTACTGTCATATTCCCTTGCTCACTTTACAGCAAGCAAACTCAACCCTTTCCCATCTTGTTAGATTTTGGTGGAAAGTCTCCGTATGAACTGATCTGTTTCTTGCCTCATTTAAAACCAAGATCTCTTTCCCCCGCGGATCATTGTTCTCCGGCCACCACCTGCATTCTGGTCAGTGTGGCTTCCAAAGCCCTGCTGCTGAATTTCCTGAGACCTCAGCTGAACAAAGTTTCCTAGAGGAAAAAACAGTTTAGCAGCACCCCCACCAAGTGTGTGAACCTCGGTTCGCTCGCAGGACACAGAAGAGAGCAGAGAGCTCAGATCTAAGGTCTTGCCAGCAGGTCCGGCTGCTCAGTCTCCTCTGTTGCGAAAAAGGAGAGTAAGAAAACAAAATGCACAGAGAAGAATCACACTTCATTCTGCACTTAAAGGGTGGCAACAATTTTGTCCTTGCATCAACTGTTCAGAAATGTGATTGAAAATAAATACATTGTATGTTGTAGTATTCCGTACTTCCAATTGTGGGTGAAGTGGTGAGGACAAGAGAGCGGAGCCCTGAACCCAGGACTAGACTCAGTTCTATCTAGAGAGGATCTCATTGTTAAGATGTTGGCACACAACTCAGCCAAGGGCAGGCAATGTGCTGGAATACTGTCTCCTACCGGAATGAGTGTGATGCATTTTGTATGGGGAATGTTGATGTTCCGCAAGTTATTGATTATATGTGGGTTGTTCTTTTGTATCAGCAGCACCTCTTATTTCCGCCTCTGAATGACAGGTCTTCAAAATACAGTGGTGCCCTGCAAGACGAACGCCTCGCAAGACGGAAAACCCGCTAGACGAAAGGGTTTTCCGTTTTGGAGGCGCTTCGCAAAACGAATTTCCCTATGGGCTTCCTTCACAAGACGAAAGCCCATAGGGAAATCTCCGGGACAGCGGGGAAGCGCAGCGCGTCTTCCCCACTGTCCTCGGACCTCCTCCGAAGGCTGGTGGTGGGGCAGAGAGACCTCCTCCCGCCGCCAGCCTTCGGAAGGCTGCTCCGAAGGCTGGCGGCGGGAGGAGGTCTCTCCGCCCCTCCGGCAGCCTTCGGAAGGCTGCTCCGAAGCCTGGCGGTGGGGCGGAGAGACCTCCTCCCGCCGCCAGGCTTTGGAAGGCTGCTCCGAAGCCGGGCGGTGGGGCGGAGAGAACTTCTCCCACCGCCAGGCTTCGGAAGGATGCTCCGAAACCGGGCGGTGGGGCGGAGAGACCTTCTCCCCGCGCCAGCCTTCGGCTGACCTGAAGACTTGCGGTGGGAGGAGGGTTTTCCTTCCCACCACCAACATTCAGAATGCTGTTCTGAATGTTGGCGGTGGGGAGGAAAAACCCTCCTCCCACCGCAAGCCCCGGGAACAGAGGAGAAGCGCTGCGCCCCTTCCCCTCTGTTCCCGTACCTGTCCTGAAGGCTTGCGGTGGGGAGAAAAGCCCTTCTCCGTACCGCCAGCCTGGCAAGCAGTCTCCATAGGAATGCATTAATTGATTTTCAATGCATTCCTATGGGAAACAGTGCTTCGCAAGACGAAAAACTCGCAAGAAGAAAAAACTTGCGGAACGAATTAATTTCGTCTTGCGAGGCACCACTGTATGTGCTATCAGTTCCATTGATTCAGAATTCACATACCAGAGGCGTTTGCTGGGATTATCAAACTACTCTCTGCCTGGCTCTTCAGCCCTGCCTTACTCCCATGTTGAGTGAGCAGTTTTTGTTGGTGCCCATCGATTCCACTGGCAGACCCTTGGTCAGGTGGGGGGCAAGGGTGGGGCATCTGGAAAGGGGAAGATGGTGAGGCTAACTTTTTGCCTTCATGTTCTTACCTTTTAAAATAAATAATTTGGTTTGCACAGGAAGGTACAAATTATTATTCAAATAAAACAAGTGGAGGGGGGGAATAGTTTCTTTAAGAGAGCCACAAGATTTCTCCTTGCTATAAAAGCCAGATCCGTGTGCAGGGAGAGAGCGAGGTGGATCTTGTGAGTGAGAGAGAGAGACTTGCAGGCAACCCAGTGAGAGGTGCTCAGACAAAAGCGCACACTCACACTCTTGGATGACATGGTTTTTAATAAAAATTACGACAGAATAATAAATGTACAGTTCAAATCAACATGCTAAAATATCTAATGCCATTCAGACAGCAGCCCCATGCAGCCCCCGTTTCCCCCCTTCTTAAGATCAGTAGCTGTTCTAGCCCTCTCCGACAGAAATCCCTTTAAAGTTAAAACTTAAAATGTACTAAACATTTCACCCTTTTTGTGCAATGACTTGTGCAAAAAAAGCTGTTTTCACCACATTAGTTTACAAAATACTCCCCTCAAAATAAAAAACAGAAGACACCCAGAAATAAAAAAGCACACAGATAAATGAGCAATTAATAAACGTACTACCGAGAAGCTCATGTGTCGGGTGCGGTTGTGGTAGTTTTGGGGCCACGAACAAGTGGTCTTCTGACTGCTTCTAAGATGTGCTATGTGGCTGAGACCCAACGCCTGGTGCAAGCCACTTCTCAAAGGATTTCCAGGTTTGTGGTGATTTATGCCGTCGCTGTTGCAGTGCTCAGAAGACGGCTGCACCAAAAATGGGCCATGAGAGCTGGCTCTTGCGATGGTCTGTGTGCCAAGCCAAAAGGACGGGCACTACTTGCCTCCAGAGGCCCCAGGAGAGGCCAAACCATTCGCCTACTCTTGACCGCCTGCCCTGGACAGCCAGACTCTCAGGCGGTGGCACTAAAGCATTTGCTTTGAGACCCACCAGCCGGCTTCCTTACAACCACCCCGGAACGATCACATTTGCAAGCCCTTAATGGAAACGGTTTCTGCAGGAACAAAGAGCCCGGCTTTAAAAAAATAGTAACAATTTAAAAAAGACCTACGTACAAAAGGAATATTTAAAAACAAAAAACACAAACGGCAACAATACAATGGAGAGGGGGTTTTCTTTTTTCCCTTGTGAGTTTGAAAAGTGGGGTCAGATTTAACCCAAGTGCAAAACCAGCAAAGAACTTTTGCTTTGATCTCCAGCAAAGTGTCGTCAGGAAGGATGTGGGCAGGAGAGGTCCCTGTGAAGGAGGCGGCTGGGGAGGAAAGCCCCCCCCCCACTCTAGAGCAGCTACAAGCCCCTGCAGGCGGGCCAGGGTGCTTGTGTACCCAAGAGCATCTTGCCAGTCCTGCCGCTCTCAAGTCTTAAAGGGAAGAGGAAGGAGCAGCCAGGACTAAGCCCGCTTTGCCACCCTGAGGGGCTGCATGGCAGACCCCAAGAGAGCTGCCCCAGGACCCCGCCTGCAATTCTGCAGGGAATGCCTGGGCACCACCCCCTAGCGCCCCCCCCGGCAGGTTTCTACTCAGATTGCCTGGGTGGCCAAAGGCTGGTGGCTGTTCTTCACACACACACACCCCCCAATTATTCTCCTATTAATAATGATACTTCTCACCCGCCCCGTCTCTCCGTATCAAACAATGAACTGCGGAGGAGGCAATTCATTCACGGGGATTTCTTTTTTAAAAAACCAGAAAACGTTCTCCCGCTTTGCTTCTCTAAAGGAAGCCGACTCACTCTCGCTCACTCGCTCGCTCTGCCGCAATGATTAATTCCCTTTTGAAGGGGTGGGACTGTATGGCCTGGAAGAAAACGCTAATTGGGAGCAGAGCACCAAAATTCCGTTTCTCATCCCCGTTATGCGACGGGCGGTTTGGAGTTGGACCCTACTGAAACCGGACACTCGGAACAAATATCTCCTTTAGCTCCAGAGGGGCTTCCCCCCTTCTCACACCAACCAGCCTTTTCTCCAGATCAGGGCCAGGAGGGTTCAGTTTGGGCTGCTCTGCGGATAAGTCGGTCCCACCCAGATCCGGCAACCCTCTTTCCATTGAGCGCCGTGGAGGCTGGAAGGAGGGCCTGGTCGGAGGCTGCGGGATGTTCGTGGCCGGCTGGGGTCTCCAGCTTAGTCTCCCTTCTGGCTTTTGCTCAGGAAAGCAAAAGGAATGGGTTGGCTCCTGGCGCAAACCGAGGCCTCGCCTGGAAGCAGCCAGCTTGGGAACAGGGAAGCCTTCAAAGTCCAGGCCTGCCTGCTGTCCGGCTTTCCCCTTTTTCAGTGCTGTAACTACTCCCAGGACAGGAACCCCAACCACCACCACCCAGTGACCTGGTGTCAGTTTCGCAGAGAACTGCTTCACCCCCCTCGCTCCTCCTGTCGCGGCTTCATCCCACCCCACGCCAAGGAGACCTGGTCAGAAGAACGGAACAAAGATTCACCATGGAGGGACAAATCTACCTGCACCAGCTCAACTGGGGGGAAAGATCCTCTCACGGAGATCACCTCCTTTCCCTTTCGTGCCCCCAAATGTAAGAGGGCGTGGAACACCTGTGGCTGCTGCGACCAAAAGGAACTTGAGCCGGAAATGACCATCAAATTCCTCCCCACAGGTGATGTCGGGCTGGATGGGGGAGATTCTGGGAGATGCGGGAGAATCATTCAAATCAAAAACATGGGACGGACCCAAAGCCACACACACACCCTGCTCCAGTCTCTTCTGCCTTTGGCAGTGGAAAGAGAACCCCCACCTTATAGGGACAGAGGTGGACAAGGCAAAATGGTGAGGGGGATTCATGTGGTCCTCTAGACAGGGAGGTATTTTGGCAGTTCCCAACCACATCCACATTCCGTCTACAGACATCATCTCACGGCACACATACACAAACTTTGCCTGCTTCTGTTGGGCTTTTGTCTTCCATTGGAGTCCTGACTGATTCCGATGCCTGCAAGGATCGTGTAGAAATTTGGGACCACCAGATCTTTTACTTCAGGAGGCCCAGTAAGAAGGCCCCCCACTCCTCTGAGGGCTCAAGGGAGCTCAGGGCAGGGAGCAACCCCCCCCCATGCCACTAGGAACATTTCCTGGACGAGTGTAACTGGATAGGACAGGAATGGTGCCCTGCAATGGGGGGCGCTGCCCACCTGTGCCAACCATGGCTAGACAAGCTGCCCACTGGCAGTAGACTGGCAACCCACCTTTCCTAGCCTGATGTAAGCAGAGCTGCCCAGTGGCTCACGCCCCCAAATTTCCCACTGCAGCCACAAGCCAGGCAGGGAAAGAGGGGGCTCAGGGGACTGGGAAGGGCCCCTCCTTCTGGCTGTGAGATTCTGCTGGGGTAAGGTTTTATTTTAAAGGAAGACTTTTCCACCTCATTCCCACAAGCCTCATGGCTGCCCCTCCGTAGCTGCAGGCAGCATGGAAGGAAAATGTATTTCCAAGGCAGACCTGCTCACAAAGTGGGGCTCAGGTACCCCTAATGTGGGCAAACCCTTAGAAATGCAGCCCTGGGGGACGCTGCTGAACTCACAGGCAAATAAACATTTAAACATAGTGTCTGGAGAGCAAAGTGGAAAGGGCAGGGAAAGCCACTGCCCCAGGTAGGATGGGCAAGGCAGCGGAAGGAAAACAGCCCCCCCCCACTAGAGGCCAGTCTGACCCACAAAAACTTCCTCTCACGGGGAAGCCATATGGGGAAGGGGTTGATCCCAGCAGATCCCCTTGCCTGCCTTAATGGATAAACAGAACCCGCACCGAAATTACACTGCTCAAATATCTCCGTTCCTCATTCTTAATGAACTGACTGTAGGCCTGCAGTGAGAATTGAAATTCCATTTGCAAACAGCCAGAGTTGAAAGGGTATGTGTGCGTGTGTGTGTGTGTGCACGCAAAGGTGTGTGTGTCTCTGCTCTCCCAGGAAGTGTAAGGGCCAATTCGCTCAGCTGTTTCCCCCTGGGGAAGTGACCGCCCCCCTCAGCTGTCAGTTGCGACGCCACAAAGGGATGCTCTGAACATCACAATGCGCTGCTTTCTGGAAAATACAAAGCAAGGTGTTTGGGGCACAGGTGATGCCGGCTGCCTTGCCAAGATGCCCAGCAACGGAGGCTTCGCAATGAAAACATCACCACCAACCAGCCATGGGAAAGGACCCTCAGCCGATCCTCCTGCTACAGCCACACCCCAAACAACCAATTCCACATTGCAGGCAAATAAAATGTCTCTTTGCTGAGGCACGTTTGGAGCCCCAACCCTTTTTTTTAAAAAAAAACCACCCGATGCTGTCAGCAAACACCAGAGTGATGGACCCACTGGCATTTGGCTTCTGGAAGGAGTTTACGGGGCTTTGGGCTCCTGGATCGTGTCCCGGTCTTGACGAAGAGGCCTCAAATCCTGGGAAGAGGATGATGACGCAGGAACAGTTGGCGCCTGCCAGGCCCTCGCCTCTCCTTCTCCTCCAGCAGCCACCTTTGTCCACGAGGAAGGGCTCCACGAGGAGGGCAGGCCGGTGACGGGACAAGCCTCCTCTGCGTGCTGCTGGGCACACCCCCAAGCATTTCCCAAGCCCACCCCGGCAGCCGCGTGGCCCTGCCTGACCCCACCTCACGAGTGGTGGGTGTTGATGAGGCCTCGCAGCTGCTTGGCCACCGTGTCAATCAGCTTCTGCTTGTCCCGCTCGTTCTTCCGGAACTGCGCAAAGACGTTGTTCTTGCGGCTCGTGTCCTTCATCCTGCGCAGGGAGGGAAAGCCAGAGCGTCACTGCCTCGCAGGCAGAAAGGCTGCCCAGCCGCCCGGCCTCCGGGGCTCCCTTGGCCCACAGCAATGCCAGCCGGTGGCCCTGCGCCCCCCCCCTTCTGCTGCCGGGGAAGGGGCAGCTGAGAGAGACAAAGCCCCCTTCGCCCAGGTGCCAAAGGGGCCCTTTTATTCACCCACCCTCCCTTACCCATGAAGCTACACGATTGCCTTTTGCCACATGCGCCCAATCGACCACAGAACTGGCTCTGTCACAGGTGCCACAAATACCCCTTCTGCATTTGTAAGAACTCCATATTTTAGTGGAACTTTGGAACTCCCTGCCTATGGGCACCAGGCAGGTGCCTTCCCTGTGGGATGTGATACATAAGTAGCAGTCAAAGACAACATTCCTTGTTTTCCTAGAGTGGACATGCAAGGGGATGGTTGGTCGAGTCAGTCGAAAACTTCCTGTTTCCTCCTGGATTGGGACATACTTCCTCTTGCATGTGACTAGAGGTGGGCGTGACCTTACCTGTGCAGGTAACAAAAGCACAATGCACACAGCCCTCCTCCCTTCCCCCCCCATCTTCCTTTCTTTGTGTGAACAGCAGTGACTGCCAGTCTGCAGTCACTGGGATTAACCCCCCATATGGGGTAGATCCACATGTACCTGTATATACTTTGTAACTAAGTCTGCCTTCTGGGATCCAACTGTGAACAGAATGTGAGGAAACTAGTTTTATATACTTTACACAAGATGTGGCGTGTTTATTCTTTTAGGAGGGATATAAGGGAACTTACCAGGTCACTAATATTGAGAGGCTTAAACAAGCCTGCAACCAGCTATCCGCTGTGTGTTTAAAGGGGAATGTAAAACACTACTAAGTCATAGAACTTGCTAGCGTAAGTTAGGAAGCATATTAATAAATAATATATCCTCTCCTGCCTCCCTGAACATTCCCACATTCACTGTACTCTTTCTGGCGCCTTCTAAAAGCCTTTCAGTTTAAAAAAGCCTACCCAGACATTTAGAAAGCTGGTGCGAATATTAATCTGTTTTTAGTGAGTCGTTATTCTGAATTCCTGAAAGTCATAAATTATTGTTGATTTTCCTTAGGGATAATGCTACTGCTTTACATTTTCTGTAAACCACCATGAGCTTTTCTTTAAAAAGCAAATGCTGTATAAGTTTTATGAACTAATAACAGCACTTCTAATGGACAAACCAAATTGGGGTCTGCCCCTGCTTCCAGAGAGGGGGCTATCCTGCCCCTCAGGATTCCGCCCTCAGCTCTCTGCATTGCCCAGGGCGGGTGGGCGATTTGTGAGGCCCTGAGGCTGCAACACATGAGAGAGCTTTGGGAACTGGGTTGGGGTGGCTCCCTGGGCTGCTAGAGGGAATTGATACCACAAACCAGATCCGCTGCCCTCCAGATCCCACGAATTCAGGAGGGCGCCCAATAGAAGAAAGACGCACAAGACAGATTTCTGAAGGCATGAAGAGGGCCTCTGTCCCTCTTTCCTTCCCTCCCTCCTCTGGTGTCCTCTTCCATCTCTGCCTCCCAAAGACTTGCATAGACGTTTACTGCAGCAGCCCTGCTCTGCAGGCGAATGGTGCCTGTGAGAAGCACCTCTCTTTGGGGCAGGGTGGGGGGCAGCTCAGAGACCAGGGACAGCAGGAGCGGCTGCCCAGAGGACTCCCCAGGAGAAGGGAGAGGAGAGGAGGGCACACTCCGCAAGGGAAAGTGTTCAAAAAAGGGTGAGAGGTTGCCAGCTCTGCAGGCAAGGGGTGACCTAACTGGGCTCCTGAGCCCCACAGCAGAGCCACAGAAATAATGTAGTTGGTCAAGGGAGCTGTGGAGCCAAGAAGGTTGAAATCCTCTGTCTTATGCTCTTCCTTAGTCTCCAATTACTCAGCAGTTACAGCCCCCAGAAAAAGGGGTCAACAGCAAACTTCTCTTGAACATATCCGTCTCTTATTTGGGTGTGGAATTTTTGACATTAAGCAGTGTGGTCCTGGCTGCCTACTAACACTCATTTTGAAACTTCTGAGTAGAGAAACTGCCTTCACGCAGGGGGCAGGAAATGGGGCGGGTGGGGGGGCTACGGCAGCCTAGCCCAACCCAGCACCTTCCAGACGTTTTGGTCAAGCAGACTGGGAGTCATGGGACTTGTAGTCCAAAACATCTGGAAGGCTCTGGACTGGGCTAGGCTGCTCCACGCCAGGCAACCCACCATCAGAACATCAGGAATAGATTATGGGATTTGTGGGGGACATCCGAGTGTGCGCTGGAAGCCTGACAAAAGGGTCTTGGTACCCAGCTGGGTCTCCCTGTGGGGCTATCGGGCTACAAGTAACAGCACAGGTAGGAGGGAATTAATGGCCAGACGTCTTTGCCAAAACCCTCCGCCAAACCCTCCTCAAACTGCCCCACGTTTTGTTGGAAGCTCATCTCTAAATACAGAGCAGCCCTGGCTGAAATTGCCATCCCGCTTGAAACGGCAGTTAGCGGATTGGAGATGATAAAGTTACCAGGAGGGGCTGCTTTCAGAAGGACCTGGAGCCTTGCGCCCACTGAGTGCTCCGCTTAAATTGCACAATAAAAGGACTCACAGGGAAGAAAACTAAAGGAGCCCCCAAATGAGCCACATACTTACTCTCGCGATATCCTGTGGAAGTGAGGAAGGAGAAAGAGAGAGAGAGAAACCGAGAGAGGAGTTAAGAAGTGGCTTCTCTGGCCACTGGCCGACTCTGCAAGCCATTCTGGTCCCGAGAGATGGAGGGAGGGAGGGAGGGGGGATGACCGAGCAGCAAGGATCCGCCACCAGCAGCCAAGCCAGGACTTTGACACACGTGCTCTGAGCTGGGCCCCAGAGCAGCAAAGCGAGAGGGGAATGCAGTGGCAAAGAGTCCCTGCAGAGAGGCATGGTGCCATTTTGCCCAGGGAGGCTCCTCTGCCCAAGCCAGGAAGCATCACCCAGGTGGGCTGGCAAAAGGATGAGCAGCACAAAGGAAGGAAGTCGGAGCAGGTTGTCAGGCTCTTGGAAGTGATGCGCTTTGACAGGCGTCCATTATGACTTCTGGGGGCTGACCCAGGTCTTGCCCACCAGCCAGAGTTGGCCGGTGGGAGGTGGGGGGAGATAAAGACTTGGTCCACTGGGCCAAAAGGACCCCCACCCCTGTTGTACTGGCGCAATTGCAAAGCACCCAGCATCCTCCCCAAAATTGATTGGCTGCTGCCCAATCAAAGAGAGAAGGGCAGGGATCCTGTTCCTCAACATCCAGCTGTGGGGAATTGAGAACCACTTTTCAAATCCAGCGTGGCAAGCTACAGGGGAAGGCAAAGAAGCACCTCCTGGTGACACTGGCAGTGGCGAGTGCGAATTCAGCAGGGAACCTGCATCAGCATTGGCAATTGCGTTCATTCCCATGGGGGGAGAGACATGAAATGGTGCCATTAAGAGGGACTTTGCATGCTTGGTCAATCCTCACCCTCTCCAAGAAGAACTGGACCTCTCACACACAAGGACAATGTCAGTCAGTTTGCCTAGCCAATGAAGTGTATCAGTTATATATACCTGTTTCTAAATTTCCTGATTTCATTTGTATGTTGGATTCTTCTATCAATCAATTCATGCATTCTTATAATTAAATGAATATGAACTGGAAGCAAAGACTATGCAATTTAATGGGGCAATGTGGGAGAAGTCTGCGTTCGATTCTCACTGTCCAACATGCTCCAGCAATGCCCCAATGTGCAGAGCGTTCTGTTTGCGCACACCTCTGTCTGGAGCCCTGGTGATTTCTGCACACTTCTGCCAGACAGCTCGCTCTGACCGCCCCATGCGCACACACAAAGCGAAGATGACCGGCGGCGGCAGGGAAACCACCCCTGCGCAAGACACACAGAACAGCACAAACACGTCACAGCCGTGGCAAGAGGCTCCGGGGCAGAGGGCAAGGGGTGCTCAGCAGCCCAGCAGCCTCAGCGCAAGCAGCAGCAGCAGCAGCCACCCTCCTCCCTCCTGGAAGCCCAGGCCAGGCAGCGGAGGCGATGGAAGGAGCCACCAGAGGGAACGCGGCTGCTTGTCAAAGCAAGCCAGGAAACCATCGGAAGAATGTCTCGGCTGAGGCACTCACTTTTCCAGCAAGATCAGCGCCGTTGTGGGATTCACGCGAAGGTATTTGCAGGTCGGCTGCCCGTAGTCGGCCAGGTATGTAGACCAATCCCACTGGAGAAACAGATCTAAGAGCTGAAACACACAGAGAGAAACAGGTCACAGCTTAGAGGAACATGGTGGAGGGGGGGGCACATATTAGGAGATGAAACACGGCCTCCAGAGGAGGGGCTGCTGATGCCCTTGGCTCTGGGCTTTGCCAGCCCCCCCCCCGCCCCACTGCCTCACCTGTAAAATGGGAATGCCAGCAGCCCACCACACAGGGCTGTTAGGAGGGCAAGGATGCTGGCAAGGATGCTTTGAGAACTGGGATATTCTTTTCGGGGAAGGGTCAGCGAGGGTGTGTTCCCCCCACCCCCAATTCTATAATGTTTTCTGACCCAAGGCAGTCTGCACTCACAAAGCACGACAGAGGCAGGGAGGCAAAAGGAAAGGAGAATCCGGTTCAGTGTTTTTTGCTTCCAAGGGGAGCAAGCAGCCGGTCAGGCCTGGGCTGTGGGGTTGGGGCAGTGGAAGGGAAAGATGACTGGCACAGGAAACCAGGGGCAAAGTGGGGCTGAGCAGGAGGAACAAAGGACCAAGAACCCAGGGGAGCCAAGGGGCAGAGAAGGCTGTGCCAACCGTGGCCTGGCTCCCTGAAAAACCAAGCGCCACAGAGGGGGTGTTTCCCTATCCAGAGGCAGCCTTGTGCCGAGAGAGGAACAGAAACTCTGCATCCTAAAGGAAATACGCGTCCCTTGGTCAGATGACTTGGGAAGCAACAGGGCATAGATGAGCAAAGGTGCCTTATTCTCACTTAGAGGAAAGTTTACTTGTGTTTTCAAAGGTTAACTGTTACACCACAAACTGGAAATCTCTACAAATGAGCCTTGGGCTCCTCAGGTAAACACCTTTCCCTCGGGGCCAGGACCCCAAAGAAGATCAATCAAGCTGGCAATGGTCAGAGCTGTGCAGATGCCATTTGAGACACCACTCTGCCCTTCCTTGCTGCGGTCAAACAGCTTTTGCCAACCTGGTGCCTGCCAGGTGTTTCGTACTGCAACTCTGTAAGGGCTGATGGGACCTGTAGTTTAGCAGGGGGCACCAGGCCTGGGAATGTGGAACTGGAGTTTCTTACAGCACAGTGCGCAGGAGGAGGGTGGCAGAAAGGGGTGGTGGCACTGCCGTGTGAGAAGCCACCTGCGACTGCGCAGGGCTGGCACAAAGTGTGCAGAAGCCCAGAGAAGGGGGTGACAGCCTCCAGCCTCCAGTCACAACTAAGCAGAGTCTAGACCTTGCAAGCCATGCATTTTGGACACCCTCAGATCCGGCTGCAGAGCCCACCGCCCGAGCCTTTGGCCCGCGGGCAGAGGAGCCAGGGTCAGGCCAATTTGTCCTCTGGTGATTGTGGTGTCCCCCGCTCTGCGCCACCGGGTGCCCTCCCCCAGCGCATCCCCCTCGGAGCAGAGAGCGGCTTCCTCCTCGGGCTCGCCCCACCCCAGCGCCACGAAGGGGAGCGGCAGTGATGGATGGCCTGTGTGTTTTACAGCCGTTGAGCCCTATCCATCTTGTGGACACGCGGCCTCTGGCTTGCGATGCCTCCGAGGGCTCCCTCCTTCCCCTCGCGCAGGGCGGCTGCTGCGCTCACAGAGCAACCAGAGGGGCGGGAAGTTCTCTCGCCAGGAACTCTGACAATGCAAGACGATTTATCTGTCACATAAATGCGGTTTTATTGGTTTTACTGTTTAAACTTTTCACCTCCGCAACTAAATCGGGGGCAGCGGGGGGGGGGGGAGGAGAGAAGAGCCTTTTGCACAAGGGCATCCCTGAAGCCCAGGCTCCTCCACGCATTCTGGCAGCCACCTTCTGGGGCAGATTCCAAAATAAAAATATGCAAATACCATTAATTCTTCAAACCAGAGAGTCGGCGGTGCAGCTCCATAAATCAAACTTGACAGCACAGAGCGCACCAGGGCGGCGGGGGGGGGGGAGAGGGGGAGCCGCAGTTTGCAAGTTCAGTGGGGGCTGCGTGGCTCAAGCGCTGCGGCTGCCGGTGTTTCTGCATGCCGTGAGGGCCGGCAGAGAGACGTGCAGGAGGGACGGCGGTGACCGTAAACCTGGTGCATGTCAGGGAGACAAGGCGGCTGGCTGGGTGGGGGACCTGGGATGGGGAAGAGAGGGAGAGGTCCCAGAGAGTTCAAGGTGCTTTCAGTGCCAGATCCTCCGTCAGAAGCTCTTCCAAGACCTGGGATTGCACTCTCAGGGCTGGGGGGGGGGCTTCAATCACAACCTTCCGTTTCACCCCAAGATGCTGCATGCAGCAGACCCCGTCCCTCAAACTGACTGACACCCCCAACTTCATCCTCCCACTTGGATGTCTTCAATAGAGGACTGGGTCCATTCATGAAGGAGACGGCCACTGACGGCTACCAGCCTTGATGACTATGGTCTGCCTCCACGGCTGGAGGCAGCGATGCTCTTAAACCCAGTTGGTTTTTAAAGCACAGGAGCGGAGAGGGCTCTTGTGCTCAGATCCTGCATACATCTGGCTAGCCCCTGTGAGAACAGGATGCTGGACTAAACAGACCACTGGCCTGATCCTGCAAGGCTCTTCTTAAGTTCAGCCCTTCATTGTGCTACATCATGGGTTGGCCAACTAAGGCCCGGGGGCCAGACCCGGCCCAATTGTCTTCTGGAGCAGGCCCACAGATGGTCCGGGAATCGCCACGTGGATCAGCATGGGGATCCTGATTGTTTGGGCTGCACCATTCCCCGCCCCCCTCACACACACTGCGACGGCACCTCCTCCCTCCCTCCCTCCTCCTGGCTTCTCCCTGCCCTGCCTAGAGGAGGAAGGGGGCTGGGCTTTGCTGAGCTGCGGTTGGCTGAGAACCATTTTAAGCAGCCCCTCTCCAGAGCCAGCCCTTTTGCACTGCTCATCGTCCCTCCACTGCCGTCGCCGCCAGCCCCTGCCGCTCGCAAGGCCCAGGTAAGCAGCCACCGGGGCTCGACAGGTGATGTGGAGAAGGGAGGGGAGAGTTGGGGGGGGTTATTTCAAAATATAGTCTTGTTCCCCACAAGGTCTGAGGGACAGTGGACTGGCCCCCTGCGGAAAAAGTTTGCTGACCCCTGTGCTACAGTCAGAAAACCAGAGCCATCTTCCAGGGGCCAGGCAGTGCAGCTCTCTCCCCAAGTCCTTGGGAAGGGAGACCCAAGTCTCCTCATGAGGAGGGGCAAGGGTGGGCCTGGGCCCAATCCCTTGAAAAGCAGCCTTGACACTCTGGCCCTGAAACACTCCTTCCTCCTGGTCACAGCACACCAACTTCCCTTCCAAAGCCCCCATCCTTTGCCATCACTAGCAGAAGGAGGTGATGGCATCTGGCAAGAGGGCAAAGGGCGGCTTCCCAGAGTCACATGAACATTTGAAAAAGGGGAGGGGGAAGGTTTGCATGCAAGCCTGTCCCAACGAGTAACAAAGTGCAAGAATCCCATCAAGCACAATGCAATTACCTTGCACTGAATATGTCAATCTCTCTGCCAGCTTGACACTGGCACATCTATACAGGTTTGGTTAAAACAGTACCAGCCACAATTAAAAGCTCTCCAGCCCAGAGACATCCCAGGTGGATCTACAAAGCTGCTGCTTCTGACACATGACCTTCCAATCACAGAGCTACTCCCTGCCACGCCATCCCCATCCCGGAGACCACCCGCAGCCACGGAGACACGCTATTGCCAAATCCAGGACTCTAAATCAAGCATTGTTTCAGCCAGAACTGCAGCGAGAAACTCATCGCCATGCCTGGCCCTGACCTGATCCCAGACACGCAGTCCTTGGAGGGTGAAGAAGCCACCCCACAGCTTGGGGAGCAGATAGGGCTCCCCAGAACCAACGCTGAGGTCCCGTCAGGAGAAGGTGGTGGGGCCACACTCCAAGTATGAACGCTGGAACCGAAAGTTCTGGTCCCGACCAAAGAGCAAAGCCACAGCATGTGTCCACAGGCCCAGGGTTGATGTGTGAGGCTCCCAAATTAAGGACCTCCTCAAGAGTAAGTGACACGCTTAAATACCTTCCCCACCAGCAGTTTTGGATCACGGCATAGTCTAAGAAGCCAGAGGATATGAAGCCTTGGTCTTGAGACTTCTGTTTCCAGGAAGCAACATGAGTTCATCTCCTTCGACCCCAGACTGTGGCCTGACCTTGAGCCTGGATGTCGAGTTCTCCGTGCTTGACCTCAGCTTGCCTGGACCGCAGAGCACACCCTGCCCTTGTTGGTGATGATTTTGGGAAGAGGCTTAATCCTCCGGGAACTGGGACCCAGCACCCACCATGACAGCACCCATGACAGCATGGCACCCCTGCCCAGCAAGTGGGCAGTGAGTCCACATTGGTGAGCCCCCTGCCCAAAAACAGGGAGACTTCTCTCCCAGGGAAAATCCCTGGTGGAAAAGAGGATAAATGGAGAGGTGAACCAGTGGGAAGAACTAAAAACCTTGCAACGTGATTCATTGCCAACTAGCAAGACCACCACCACGCCGCTAATTCCAGTCCATTGCAATTAGCAGAGGAAAAGGCAGCCCGGAAGCAAACACTTGATCTTTTGGAGGTAAAGCCTTTGGGTCTTCTCTGGTTTCCGTGAGGCTTCCTCCCAAAGGCTGAGCAGACTCGTCCCCAAGTTCACCTTTCGCGGCTCCGGCTGCACGTCTGAGACCCCCTTAGGGCCTTGTAGGCCGTTGCTCTTCCCACAACCAGGAGAAGGGACTCCCGACTAGCTACGGACACCCTAAAACTCTGGCAACGCCTCCCCACCCCCACCCACTGGTTGTACACTTAATCCGAAGTCAGTCCCAAGGCCAGTTTGCACATCACACATTTTAGGTGTGCACACTTAGACAAACGCAATGTGTGAACGAAACAAGCAAATGCCTGGGAGCACATGAATTGCACAGGGATGCTCATCAGAGGCTGGAACTGGATCCATGCAGCGAGCACAGAGGAACAGTGGACCAAACTCCAGAAACACCCTCCTTGGCTATTCCATGATGAACATAGCATGTCATCTTGGTAGAGTTCATCCCAGCCAGGGTGCCAACCT